AAACACACAGTCATCACAGATTGACTCTGAGGAGGAAGAGTGCAGTAAAAGACAATGAAGTCATGAGGTTATTAGTGTTTTTAAATTACACGCTTACCTTGATCACCATTTCAAAAGTGAAGACACCAGTGAAGGCGTAGTCCAGATATTTGAGCACCTGCAAAAGAGACTCAATCAGTGCTGAAACAGCTAATTCTATCGTCTGGGGTCTGTAATACTGTGTGTGTAATAATCATGAATAAGTGGTTCCCAACCTTTTTCCTTCAGGGACCCATTTACCATCATTGGGTAAACTGACAATCCCTGACTCAGTGACTTCAATTTTTTTTTAGATATTCAACAGTAGATAAACTGTACAATGAACCCAAACAGTGAACACAAGATTGTGTAAAATGAGCAATATGTGGATTATTTCCTTTGAATATTTATCAGAGATGAGTTTTCCTGATATTTTTATCAACTTTTTATACATTGCTTGGCCATTGTTCTATAAGGTCTTGGGCTGTTTGAACGTTTCTAATGCAGGAAGAGGCTGTTTATCAAAGAGTGAAGGCTCTGTAAAGTTTAGATCTAAAATAACAATTCAAACTTTTAAAAGTTTGGATTCTTGAATATTATAGTATTTGTGTGTAATTGTACGCTGTGTGTCTCACATTGTTGCGTGGGGCATTCGTCCAGACAGGGTCCTCTGCTGCCAAAGCGATACTGCTCATAGCAATGACAACCAGGATGGACATCTCAAAATACCGCAGAGTCACAATGTAGTGACATAACCGCCTCACCCTGAGGAGAGAAAAGCAGGAACAGAGAGAGGGAGAAGGAGAGAAATAGTCAGCAGCAGACACAGATATGACAAAAACCAATAGGTCTAAAGCAAGGATCTAATTAAAGCCAGGCATTCAGACACTATATCTCCATCAGGGGAAATGTTTAACAAAGATCTTAAAGTTTATAATGACAGTTCACAATTACATACTGTGCCATAGAAACGAAAATACATAGAAAGGTTTATGATTCAACATATTTTATTTGGAAATACAGTAGTATGCTTACAGTATTTGGAAATACTGTAAGCAAGGCAATACGTTGTGATTTTTAAAAATCAAATTTTAGTTTAACTGTTATAGTATAAAAACACACCACCGTATGTATAAAATCTTAAAAAAAAAAGGTTTTTGCATTACATTTGAATTTATCACATTCCCTGTAACATTCAATATCACAGCTATCAAGTTGTTGGGGGTTTAAACACAAAAATCAAAACAGAGTTTTTGAGAATCAATACCACAAAAATCTGTTTAAACCCATACAGTGTGGCGATATATATCCTGTTTGCCAAACAATGGTTTGACTTCATGAATAGAGTTCATTCCATCAGCACACGTCAGTGGAGAGCTGTTAATGTCTGACATATAGACCAGCCACCACTATCGACTGTGTGTGTGTGTGTGTGTTGGTACAGTTAATTGTGTTTATGCAGAGTTTGCGAGTATACTGAGGAGATGGACACTGGTCTCTTAAGGGGTTCTGCTTTACTGCTTTTAAAAAGGGGTGGAAAGAGAGGGAACAGATCAACGCAGACAAAGGCTTGCTCGTCCTCATCACTCACTGTGGTGGTGTAGGATTGGGTGACTCCTGCTACTGATATGATGATATGCTTGTTTATAGACCTGCTGATATCACACAGTCTCTCCATTGTCTAACTTCCAGAGCATGTGGGAGGTCCTACAGGAGGTGACTTACGGATTAGTCTGTCCAAAGATGAACATGGAACTGTAAGGCAGGATGGGTCTGGGTCCACTTTGACCTACATCCTCCCGGGTGTCATTCATGGGCATGGTCTCACAGTCGATACTGTTCGCTGGGAAGACAGATGGTTCGATTACAGCAATGCAAACAGGAGACAGGACAGTCACACTTCAACATTAAGTGGTCTCTGTGCTCACCAATTACAGTAGGTAATTTATACTGGGACCTTGACTTAACTAATTAATGACATGGCAGAGTGGCATAGAGTAACAACCCCCAGCAAATAATCACACATCTAATTTATTATCCTCAAAAAACCATTGGACAATAAATTAGATGTAATTTTTAACCTCTGGTGGGAAGAATCTGATACAATAAAAGAATCTTCACCATTACCATTTAACCAAGGTCAGGCTGTTTGTCATAGATGTTGTCAGTCCCCAGCTGCCTACACTCATGTTTTCAATATGTCCCTGTACACACAACTATTGATTGGAAGTACATTATACAATCTGATAAATCTCAACTTATGTTAAACCATCTGCAGTTTTATTTGGGGTTACCCTTATACTTCTACTCCAAAGTCACATGAAAAATGTCTCATGGCAAATGAACCCCCGGCATCAGCCAAGCTTATAGCTTGCTAATGTTAGCAAAATTCTAACAAACAAGCTAATTTACATTAATTGTTAGTTAGCTAGTTATCTCATATATTGATAAATGCCTAACTTAAGAGGTGACTATATATATGTTGCCTTTATCTTTCAACCATTTCAAAATGTGGTTGTCTTTTAAACGTAGACGAGCCTAGCACATAGCATATCTGAGTACAGGAAAGAACAAAGTTGAATAAGGTTTTGACTCAACTCAACTGTTAGTGGAGCACAGACCAAAGAAGGGAGAGACTTAGGAAAGGTTAATTTAGTAAACAGAGTTCAGAAAAAGGCGCAGACCTGATAAATATCTAAATCTGGCTTCTCCTGTGGTGATCATCATGTTAATAATAGGGCACCTATACAAAATTAACTGCTTGTAAAAACAGCAAAAACTGCAGACTCTTGTCTGTTTAAGAAGTACCTCCCATTGCTCTCTTCACAGTAAATGATCTGTACATGCATATTGTACTTGTAACTGTAAGTGGCTATGAAAAAAGACCTTCAATGTAATGGCTGCAATGGAAATAATATAAGTCATATTATGTGTGCATCCTGTAGGCCTCAAAAGGTACTGACGTTGTACGAGGGTGGTCTCCCCGGGTGGGGAGGTGACTGTCACAGGAGGAATTTGGATGGAGGTTTGGCCAGTTCTTCTGACGTTTCTTTGGTTGTCTGAGTCCTCAGGTCGGTCAGCAGTCCAGTCAGTCCCCCCAGAGCCCTGCTGGGGGGAGATGGCTAGAAACTCCCCCTCTGAGTCACCAAACCTGTCCCTAGAACAGAGATTGCATCTTAGATATTATGTATGTTTTTCAAATAATATCTCACGCTGATGGCCTGCAGTTTAAACAATTGTGCTACTTGTCAACCCTTTCAGTGACATTTCATTGGACTTAACAGAGGTTGTGGATATAGCTAAACATTTACAGACCAACAGAAACACCATTTAATATTGCAGGGTCACTGTAAAATGACAAAATGTCAGAGGTCTTATAATAGTGCTCCAATTACACTGTGGCTTTGAAGAGGGTCTCTGATCCATGTGAAATGGGGGCTGCAATACATGGTCTGTGGTTCATTGGCTATATTCACCGAAGCCAAAAGAAACATAGCTTATGTATATCAGAATTGAACATAATCTCTCTCTATCTTTTATTGGGACATACCCTGCCTCCTCACGTGAAGATGTAGACGTGTGGCAGGGTGTTCCATGCCCATGAATAGATTTCAATTAAGTTCATTTCATGCAAAAGTTCAAAAGCAAGCTTATTTCCATTTTTTGTGATCTGTAATAATAAATGTGTCAGAACCATGGACAGCATCATGAGGAGAGGGGAGAAGGAGAACAAGGGACTTTATCAGGCTATCCCCACTATTTACTATGAGCACATTTTAAAAAGGGACAGGAAAAAAAATTATATTAAATTAGACATTTTCACCCGTTTCTTCACAACTAATCCGTCATAGCATGGAATGATGGCAGATGGGGGTAGTTTCTTATATGCTGAAACAGTGGAGGGAGCATGGTATCTGCTGCAAAGAACCAAATACTAAATATCACGACTTATTTAAGTTTATGTTAACTTATCCAATTACTATGTTTATGTACTTGAGCACAGAGCTAGAGAAAGTCCCCTTTCTGACTGCACAGTATTATCACACAGATGTGGACTGAGACTTAGAAACTGAATCTTTAGTTGACCACTGTTAGCTTAAATGTCCTGTAAAGTCAAGTATTTTTACCTATGGCTCTGGGTCTTCTCTCTCTCATTGGACTCCTCTCCATCAACTGTGGATTGGCCCCTGCATCCATGAGTCCGATGTCTCCTCCTTTCTCCATTCACACCACTGTCTCCTCTGGAATTCCTATCCCCGTCCCTGTTAGACGAACGTCCGTCTTTGTGGCGGGATCTTCGCTCTCCCCTACCTCCACCGTTCAGAGTCCCATTGCCCCCTCTGGACTGTCGGTGTGAATGATGGCGATGCTCTCTCTCGCTGGGGACTCCCCCACCCCCGCTGTCATCCACTGAGCTTTGATGGTGGTGCCTCCTGCCCCCCTCTCGGCTATGGGACCTGTCGCTCTTCCCGTCTTTGCCATGGCTGCCGTTGTGGTCTTTGGAGCGGCTGTGATGGACATGGTGCCCGCCGTCTTTGCTGGCGTCACCGTTGTCGTTTATCTCGTCTCTAGTCCTGGCCCTGTCTCTGTGGCGGTGGTGGCGCCTGGGCTGGTGAGGCACAGGAGGCAGAGCAGGGTCAGTGCCAGTCTCAGCGTCCTCCAGCATGCAGGGCTTGTGATGGTGGTGTTGGTGGCCACCCAGCAAAGGCCCGTCGCAAGGTTCGACGACCAGCGGCCGGTCGAGGTGGGTCTTCATGTCAGGCCGGATGTGGTGGGCTGAGGACAGCTCAGAGTAGAGGGCCTCGCAGCTTGCTCGGTTCTGCCTCCTCAGCTGGTTGGCCCTCTGCTCCCACACAGACATCGTCTTCATTGACTTCTGCTGCTCCTTACTGGGGTAGAGGGAGAAGAACCACACAAATCAAAACCACTGAGACTGATATATAAAATACTGTGCAAGTCATTTTCCAGACCCTATACTTTGATTCAGTTCAGTTCTGTCACAACAGTTTGTCATTTGTACAAAGGATATAAGCGTTTCCAATGAACACACTGATAGGCATGGTTTCCTCTGAGGTGTGACACATTCATGTACTTTACACTCCATGACTTCACAGCACATAAAACCAGCAGTATATTTCATTTTACATCTCATGATGGCACACATAGTCCCTACATGCTGAATGATTTACAGTATGACCAAGGTGCAATGGAGCTTTAAACACAGCAAACCACTGCGTCCATTTATCACAGTTTACCATGGATGTACCTGGCCAAGCATGGCCATATTACCATGCGTTGACATGCTACTTTTTTCTGTCAATGTCCACTACAGTATTCTGAAATGGCTGAATGCATGCTCTTTTGATACTGTATGAATTAAAAACTGTCTCGTCGCCTGATTTTACAGTGGGAAATGACATGTTACAATGCCATCTCTATCATGAGAGACGTCAATATGTTCACTACACAGATCAGGAACAAACAATAACTTAATCCCATGTTCTCAACGCTCCATCATCCTGCAGTTTCATTCTCCGTACTCACCTTCTACATATGTACAAGATACAAACATTCTATATATGTACAACTTTAAGAACTCCTGCTAAGAGGTGGATGGACAACATGGGACTGGAGTCACTGAATGAACAAAAAAAGCCCATAACATGGTGTGCATGACAAGAATGCAGGAACAGCTGGGTTTTATCTATGTGGTCTTGCTTTCAATAATGTAAATAATGAAAACATGATTATGTATATTTCTATGCATGTAAGGATCATTATCGACCACCTTGCTAGTAGGCGGTTGTGTTTACCTCAGGTAGTGATGGACTGGGGTGCAGACATAACTCCTACAAACACATAAAGGGCAACATTGAAACAAACAGAGGGAGAGAAGGAACTTCAAAGGACAGCAACAGGTTACAGACAAAAGCACATGGAGGCAAATAAGCTTCAGGAAACTGACCATGGGAGAAACATGTACAGTAGAGACGCAAAATTATACAAAAAATCCAAAAGAAACGTTTTTTTGCTAAGAAGAAGCAGGGAAATAATGGGGACAGGTGACAAAAATACTAAACACTGAATACACACTTGACATCCAGAGTCAAACAAGGGAGTTACAGCAAATTGTTATTATTACTGATTCTTTTTTATAGCCTTGGTCCCAGTCAGGGTTTGTGCAGGTTTTGACAGGTTCAATTTAAGACTTTTTAAGACCATTATGAATGCAATTAAAAGGACCAGTGTGTAGGATTTAGTGGCATTTAGCAGCGAAGTTACAGACTGCAACTAACTGAAAACCACTTGTGTCTATATTTGACAATCTGGGAATGAGAACAGGAAGGCCGTGAAAGAAGCGAAAAACGCAAAAGTCCCTATCTAGAGCCAATGTTTGGTTTGTCCCCTTTGGGCTACTGTAGAAATATGGCGGTTCAACATGGCGACCTCCATGGAAGGCGAACTGCGGCATCTGTAGATAAAAAAGATAACGAAAACACAACAATTCCTATATCCAGGTGATTATACACTAATTAAAACATACCTATAAATATTGCATTCCATTTCTGCCAATAGACCCCTGTAAATGTTACACACTGGACCTTTAAGACCTATTTTACATCCATATTGGCAAAAAAAGTACAAACGACATGAAGGAAAATCAGTATTGGTTCCATGTTTTGTTTTGTAATTGTTACAGCATTATTCACACAATTTTTCCCCAAAACACATTTAAATGGGGGACTGAAAATGCAACTTTACAGGTAACGTTAATCCAATCAATTTTTATAACCTGTCAAAATCCTTTTTGAGACATTTTAAGGCCTAAAATGCAGATTATTTGAGACTTCTTTAAGGCCCTGCAGACACCTTGTCAGTTGGAGTGTATAAAAACATTACAAAATCTACCAAACCTCTTCATCTCATTATTGTTAATTAATGTACAAGATTACAGTAGTTACAAAGACACCTCATTTGATGACCAAATGAAAAGCTAATCAACAGCTTTCTACTGATTCTTTGTGGTTGTTAAGTCTCTAAGGCTTCTTTCAGTGTTTTGTTGCATGGAAGATTGTTGCATTTAAAGTTCCCCTCCAGTCAGAAACCAGTGTTTCTTCTTGTCCCTACAGTGTGCTGTTTGAATGCTGTCTGTGCAGAGTTTGACTCTAGTTTTCA